AATTTTTCAACTTTTTAACAAGTTTTAAAAATTGTTTTCGAAGCATTTTGTAGCATTTTTACTCTAGTTTTTATATCCCATAACCAAAAGAAACAACGCTTTATTTTAGGCAACAAAGAACGACGTTAACAAAAAAAACCCTCAAAACAGGTGGACAAAAGTCTTTACCCCTCGAACAAAAAATGAGAAAAAACCGAGTATTTTAATATTTGGTAGGGCCTCCTTTTGATGAAATTATTGCTTGAATCCTTCTCGGCATCGAGTCGACCAAATCCTGTAAAATTTGAGGACCGATCTTTGTCCAGACGTGTCGAATGAAGTACCATAGCTCAATCTTGGTATTGAAGCGTTTTCCCTTAAATTTCAGCTTCAAAAACGCCCACAAATGTTCGATAACGTTCAAATCCGGACTGTAGGGAGGAGCAGATACGAGCTGAACTCCATTCGATCGGAACCATCCGGGTAGACGAGCTCTATCACCGTTGGCAAGGCGAACAACTCGTCCCATTAGCAGTTGCGACTTGTGGCATGGAGCGTTGTCCTGGTACAGCAACCATCCTTGTCCAATTTTTGTGGTCGCAAATGGAAGAAGATCGTTCTCCAAAATCGCCTTGTATCGTTGAGCGTCCAAAGTTGAATTGAGAAGAACGAGCGGACCTGGTGAACTTCTAGTCATCGCTCCTGAAAAAAAAGTCAATAGGCATAAAGATAAAAGTTTCTTATACCCCACAACATGATTGATCCGCCACCAAATTTGACTGTCGCACGAAGGTATTTGGTGCTATATCGTTGTCCGACAGGTCTCCGGATCAAATGATTGCCGTCGGGATTGAAAAGGTTGATCTTCGATTCATCGGTGAAGATGACATTGGCCCAGTCGTTGCTTGTCCAACTTTCATACTTCTCGGCAAAGTCGAGTCGAATCTTCCGGTGTTTGGCGACCATCAGGGGCTTCTTGGCAGGTCTTCTAGTCATCAATCCTGCATGAATCAAACGTCTGCTTACTGTCTTTCGATTGATGTCCTTGTTAAATTGATGCTTGATTAATCTGACTCCATCGGAAGCATTAAGATTTGGATCCTTTTTGTGGGCCAGAATTAGAACCTTGTCTTCTCTTGGTGTTGTGACGGGTGAACGACCTGTTTTGAATGCTCGGTGAAGAATTCCAGTCGCTTTTTCTTTCTTGCAAAGCTTTTTCACCGTTTCGGGGCTGCATTTGAATACGCTCGCAACATCCTTTACTTTGTCGCCTCGTTTCTTTGCTTCCACAATCTTTTCTTTGTCGGAAGTGGTCAGATAGGCTCCAGGCATCACTAGAATTAAAAAATAATAAAGCATTGTTATGTGAAAAATAACGAAACAACAGCAAGAAAATAAAAAGTTGAAAAGGGGTAAAGACTTTTGTCCACCTGTTTTGAGGGTTTTTTTTTGTTAACGTCGTTCTTTGTTGCCTAAAATAAATCGTTGTTTCTTTTGGTTATGGGATATAAAAACTAGAGTAAAAATGCTACAAAATGCTTTGAAAACAATTTTTAAAACTTGTTAAAAAGTTGAAAAATTTTGCGTTTTAAAAGCTGACCTCGGTAGGGGTAAAGACTTTTGTCCATGACTGTATTACCTCTTAAATAGTAAATGAATAACACCAAAAGTTATTGTATCAATTAAAAAAAATGTGTTTTGCTAGATTGTACTCTCAAAAGAAGTTGTATCCTATCATTCCTATTTCTCGCCCCACCCATCCCTAAATAACCGAAAAATCCCTCAAAAATTGCATAATGGTCCGATGATTGAAAACTTAAGCTAGCCAAGTCCAAATCCTACCATTCCTCTGGTAGAAAATCCTTTTCCAGTAAAATGAACAATACCTCTATACCCAAGCTTGATGCGGGTAATTCAATTTCAACATTCAAGTCTACCGCAAATGTTTTACGGAATATATAAGGCCTATTTCATTACCGCCACTTGGTCATTGATTCGGTAGAATGCTTTAAAATCCTGAAATGCAATCACTTAGACACATCTCTGTTTAACGATTTCCTTTAAATCTCTCCGAACGCAAGGCGTGGCTCGCTTCTTTTACGTAATTCTCCTTTTAAGTGGAAAATAGGACCTGAATCAAGACTATGGAATTCTCTATCGAATCAATTTATGTTTATCCGGTGCTAATTTTGAGGTTTGCCTTAGACTCTGATGCCTTAGACTGATTTATCGGATCTGTTTATTTAATCAATGTTCTATTTATCATGCTTTTATGTTCTTTGCAGTGCTGTGAGTGTCAGTTTTAGTTTTTTACACTTTTATTCATATTTGAGTAAAGTCTGATTATTATTATATAAAAAATTTTTGGTAGGTCCATTATTACCTAAAATCGAGTTTAAATGTGAACAAAATGGGAACTGAGCCTTGAAAGACACTCGCAAAAGATTCAAAAGATTCAATTTTTGATAGATTCAAAAGTAAAAAGATCTTTGAACTTGGAAGATCTGGAAAGCCTTGGCTTTGCTGAATGAGCCAATCCATCAAATGTTTCCTCCTAAATGGTAAATGAAAACACCAAATGTTATTTTATCTATTAAAAAATGTGTTTTACTTGTAAATATTGTATCCTCAAAAGAAATGGGCACATGTGATAAAGTAAGAAAGAACACTGATTGTAGTCATTCTATTAGGTTGGGTACAAATTCTTGATAATACTTTTTGTTTTTTTGTTTTATCAAAGAGCAAACCATAGCTTTTTATAAATTTTTTGATATGATAATCAGATTTGCATTGCCTAGCTTTTGGCAAAGTTTGATCCCGATCTAATGGCTGGGCTTAAGCAGAAGGCTTTAGTTTGAAACCAGTCGATCCTGCTCTAGGCCACATCGCACAACAAGGGTTTTTGTTTTTGCGATTTCTCAAAGTGTTTTTGAGAACTTGTGTTTTTATGGAACTTTTGAAACCTTGTATTTGGGTATTTGATTGTTTATTAGGTAGAAAGCTTTTATCCTGTTCTGAAAAATGAAAGTTGAGCTGTGAACAAAAGAGTGAAAAAAGTGACTTGCAACATACACTTCTTAGAAAATTCTCCAGAAAAGAATCCAATGCAAAATAACCAGATGAACCTTGAGACATTTCAAAACCTGATTTTTTTGAGTTTGAGCAATTTTTTGATAATTTGAAATGATGTCAAAGTTTCTCGAAAAATTACTAGATATATATGCTTTTATTCAAATTAAATTCTTCAAAGTATTTGCGTCACATTACCAGCTTTTGGCTGCAAATTTTTAGGGGTGGAAGAAGCATCTGGTTCACAGAAGAACGAAGAGTCCAAATCGACTGGTTTCAAACAAAAGTCTCGTGCTTTAAGCCCAGCCATTAGATCTAGATGAAAGTTTACCCGAAGCTAGACAATGTGTGCCTCATTAGCCAATCAAAAATCGGTAAAAGTCTATAGTTTGTTCTCTAAAGAAAAGAAGAATAAAAAGTGTTATCAAGAATTAGCACTCAACCTAATACTTGAAACCAGAACGAAAATGGATTTGTATTCAAAAAAGAAGTTTTGAGCAATTTTTTGATAATTTAAAATAATGTCAAAGTTTCTCGAAAAACTACTAGATATATATGTTTTTATTCTAATTAACTTCTTCAAAGTATTAGGTTGGCGGGAAAATAATGCGAATTTTTAACTTGTGCTCTTGGGAAAGTAATGGCAGACAAACAGAGAAAACCGCGATAGTAACAGAGAAGCAGAGTGTGTTTGCTTACACAATCATAATATTATTCGGAAATATTTGTTCATTTGTTATCAAAAACTGACGAAACAAAAATTCCTTATTCGAGCTGCTTTACTCTATGACTTTAGACTTGGAAAATCTGCTCGTGAATCGCATAATTCTATTTCAAAGGCATATGGCAAAGGTAGTATTAGCGAAAGCCAATGTTATCGATGGTTTGAGCCATTTCAAAGTGGAAACGAGAGCCTAGAAGATGAGCATCACGAAGGACGTGCTCGAAAGCTGGAGGAGTCTCAACTTTTGCAAATTATTGAAGAAGATTCCACTTGCACCACCCGGTGATTGGTTCAACTGCGGCTCCGATATTGCGTCCACCTAGCCACGAATTGCACGAGATTGCAAGTTGCAACTTCTAAATAAAAATGAATAGAAAAGATCAGTACAAAAATTCTCTACTGACCAAAGTTGAATTTAATTGATTTCTCTTCAAAGTCGCTACTGAGTTTTAAAAAATGTAAGTGGCTCTATAATTAGTTGGAGCACTGTACTTCATTTGAGAGCAAGCTGATAAGAGAAAACTATAGCTTTCCCATTTTTTATCGATAAGTGAATGCCCATTTGAAGCACAATGCAAATAATATTGAGCTCTTCTTTGTTTTTTGCTCTCTTTCTGAGAAGTCAAGGATTTTCTTGCCCAAATGGAAGCGAACAGATGCCGAAAGAGGATGTGTGCATGTACTCGATCAATGATCGTAAAGATTTATCAAGACTTTTAAGTAAAACACCCTAGAAACTTGCTTCTAAAATCGTTTAAACACTCGCTGATTTGCTCTGTATCTAAGTTTAGCTGTGAAATTATTATAGTTGATGTTTTTCTTGCCGAAAAGACCCGCTTTTTCATTATTTTTCCTCTTCCTGATGTAAATTTAGTAGAGATGAATTTTCGCGCGACATGAACCTTCTAAAGCGCTCCGAGCACGGCATGAAGGCATAAATTTTACTAATTGCCCTTAATTTCTAACTAAAAGTTCAAAAATATTTCGCTGCTTAAAGTTTTTCGAAGAGAGCCGGTCCACAAACTAAAATCTTGCTTCTATAGTTTCCGGAATTTACTACCAAACCAAGTCACTAGTCAGAAAAGCTAGCGAACTCAGAAATTCTATTTGACATCTCTTTATGAGTTTTCCAGCCGAGTTCTACTACGATGTGATTCGCCGATGTGCGGCTCTCGGGGGAATCCCGGCCAAGATCTAAAATATCTATGAGAACTCGTATATGTTCTCAATGCTACAATCAGGTTAAAAAAAAAGCTTTCATATAGTTCTATGCTTTCCTTTAGACATTGACCCAACAGCTCCCTACATTGGGATTGAAAGAAAGAAGAATGGAAATTGGACGTATGCTGATGGAACGCCGCTTGTCTATAAGAATTGGGGTCCCAGTGAGTATGAAAGAGAAAGTTAAACCTTTTACCGCTTTACCTGGTCAATGTTTAAACCTTCTGAAGAAAAACACTTGAATTTAAGATCCACGATCAGGGAAAACTGATTAGACTAGTTCCTGGCAGTTAGGCCCAACCATTTTGGTCCTGTAGTCACAGCTTGGTAGATTTGAAGATCCAGACAAAAACTGAATCTTATGTATTTTTTTGGTATAAGTTTTACTATACAAATAAAAATTTAGATGAGCCAAGCACGGCAAGCAACTCGAGTGTTTGTGCGATCATGAGCCCGGACACTGGAAAGTGGTTCTCCGCCGAATGCACCTTCGCTCGACCGTTTCTGTGTTCGATCGATGGAGATGGTAAATAAAGTAAAAACGATAATGATTTAAGTGGTTATTAAAATATGTAATTAGAAAAACTATAAATAGAAACAAGTCAAAGAGCCTGGCGATCTTGTGATCACAGGTTTAGCAAAGTTAAGGTTAATCCATCTATGCTCCCAAAGAATCATAGGCCAAATCAAAGAGTCGATACCGAAGTAACGACAAAGGGCCTCAACCGTTCAGCTTAAAAAGCTCTTATTTAGCCCTTCAATGTCCAACTGGTTGGGTTTATAATAGTCAACTCGACTACTGCTACTACTTACAGGTTATTCAAAGTTTCGTTTCTCATTAGGACTGAACCTAGCTTGATACGGTCGCGTTTTACAGAATTTCACGGTTCTTTTCCAATATCGGGGGAGCGGTCCGATTATCGGGGGAGCGGAAGGAAAATCGGGGGAGCGAAAGGAAAATCGGGGGAGCAAATTTTGCCCCCTCGAAAAATGCATTTCTGGGACTTTTATTTTAACTGCAACGTTTTTTTTTAATTTTTTTGGCAGCGCTACATATGTCCTATATTATCCAAAGTACTGCCATAAAATCCGCGAATTACCCGTTATTCTCACAACCTTTATATTAGATCACAAAAGTGACTTAAATATCTAACACCAAACATACCTCTACCTTCCCTATCGGCCGCCTTCTCTTTTTGCCGAACGCTCCACAATCCCGAACGAACAAATGGCTACCTAAAAATTTATTCATTAATAGTATAATTGATCATAGCAACGAAAGAAATGTAAGCGAAGGAACCAAAACAAAAACAAAAGTAACCAAAACAAAAAGAAAAGTAACCAAAATAAAACAAAAGTAACCAAAACAAAACCTTTCTAGCAATCACAAATTAACTGTAAAAGGGATTGTATTCATTTCCCGCCCCTGCGGGCCAAAAATCGACGATGTCCTCCATGATCGACTCGAATGCATTTACTCCGGCAGGCAAATTGCGATGCCACAATCCCTCAGCGATGTACGAATCCACCATGGTGCCGTGGGTGCCGTGTCGACGTCTGTTCATGTCTTTAAACGGTTTCCACATTCGCTCGATTGTTTGCGTGTGCACGGTCGGATCTGCCGGCAAAACAAAATTTGTCGAGTGGTTGACCCATGCAAAATCGTAATTTGGGTCAGTGAGAAGCCCTTGGTATGCACGCCATCCATCAGAGATGATTCGAGTCCCCTTTTCGATATGTTTTCGAATCGCTTCAAGCAGAACCGGAGCCGTTCGGTTCGGCACAATAAAAGCGAAGCATTCCCTTGTTTCACGACACATACCACCAAAAAGCCAACATTCTGGCAGCATCCTACCGGCGTGGTTTTTGCGCTTTGCGATCAGCGATTCATCGATCTCCACGGTGAGTCCGGCACCACCGATCTTGTTAATCGAAAGCTTCTTGATTTTCCAAGCGCACACTTGGCGGAGAAAGTAGTTCCACTCAACAACGGTGTCGCCACTAATGCCGAGCTCCTGTTGACAGTGTTTGATTGTCGTGAGTCCCTGGCTCCATAGATGTATGAACTTTAAAATTGTGACAAACGGGAGCTTGCTTTGTTGCAAAAAGTTATCGACTCGAATTCCTCTTGAATGCTTGGGGACATTTCGCCGTGCGCAAGTGTCACATACCCAGCGAAATAGATCTTTTCCCTTTGAGCGGACTTTCATCGATTCGCCACAGTTGCAAATCCACGACTGGATGACTCCTTTGGTGACGAAATAATCGATTGCCGTCGATTCCTTGAACGCACAAATATCGGAGAAGCGCATCGTCGTTAAAGTTTTAAAAAAAACGTTGCAGTTAAAATAAAAGTCCCAGAAATGCATTTTTCGAGGGGGCAAAATTTGCTCCCCCGATTTTCCTTTCGCTCCCCCGATTTTCTTTCCGCTCCCCCGATAATCGGACCGCTCCCCCGATATTGGAAAAGAACCAATTTCACCTATGCCAACAACGCCAACTGGGCTCTATATACTTTTGGTGCCGCCGAAGGCCTCTGCGATCTAATGGGAGCCCATTTGGTCTCAATCCATTCACAAACTGAAGACGATTTTCTGAATAGTAAGAACATTATGAAGTAGTCGTCTGAATACTGAAATTCATAGACCTTGTCGCATCAAATGTCAAAAATGTGACCGTGACCAATCCATGTGGCTTACAATATGTTTGGATTGGATTAACGAGTACTGGGGTGGTCGGTGCGGGCACATGGACTGATGGCTCCCCAGTTGACTACACAAAGCATGAGTCTGTAGCGAATACGAATTGGGCGGTTGGTGATTTTATTATAAAAGATTTTCTGTTCTTATTCGACCACAAAGAACCTTGCTGGCTGTTTATTTAGTAAGGCTGTGCACAGATCTGTTTGGGTTGACCCGCAAAAACTAATATGATTATGGCAAATGTCTAAAGCAACTCTGACTTAATAGTACAATCAAATACGCATTAAATTTGGCCCAATAATAACTTAACAATAACCTACCCCGAAGATTTTGTCGTGGAATTCTTAAGGTATTTTTAGACCAAGTCTATTTTATATTCTTTATAAAGAAGGATGACGAAGCATAGTAAGAAGTCGTCAAAGAAGTTGACCAATTTTTGACCTTGACGCGATCTCCAAAGTGCTTCCCATCGAGTTCTGCAACCAGCTTCCGGAAAAGAAAAATCAGAGGGGGCAAGGTCAGGGCCGTACGGTGGAGGAGGGAGAACTTCCCAGCCCAGCTCCTTCAATTGTTGTTGAGTCAAATTTGCAACAATACAACTTTCAGATTGCTAATGATCAATCGTGTAATCTGTTCGGATGGTTTCCGGAAGCCGCCAGTAACCAAGAGGCTCGATTCATCTGCAAAATGGCCTCAAAGAGAAACATCGCAATGAGAATGGCCAAGGAGCTTGTAAGAAATATATGGTGATGCTTTGATCTATATAATTTCTTGTGAGACCGTGTCTCGTTGTGGTTCAATGGTGGTCTTCTTGAAAACGTAATAATTTATCCAACTTTCCCTTGTTAGGGCAACTTCGCTCAAACTAGAGCAACTTGGCACTATCACAATTAAATCAACACTTGAATGTGAAAAAAGAATGATAAAGCACAAAAAAGGAGAACAACAAACTCACTCAAAAGCAAAGCTTAAATAATGGGTTTTTTAAGCATACAAGCTACAACAACCGGACAGCTGAATATCATTTAGTGACTGATTACGGTAGTTTATCCACCAACTTTGAACTTTAACTTGTATTGAATTTTTGATTAACTGCAGAGCAGTGGCAATTCGCCACAGAGCTGTTGTAAAGTCTAAAACCATTTTTCCAGTATCCAATAAAGTTTAATTTTTATTCGAAACCTTCTAGACTTTTCTCTTTGCTACATCGTGTGAACGGGCAACTCTTTGTTCCTCATAAAAACTAATCGCCAACTGGCACTGGCATAAAAATTCTCGAAGGAGGCTAGAAATCTTTTTGATAAGAGGTTCTCATTAGGCACAAAAAATGCTTCTAAATAATCTTTTGTTTGTTGGCTTTTTCCTGACGACTCAATCATTTCACATTTCTTTCAGAAACTTCCAAGCAATCCAGTACAGTTGGAATAGTCTGCTAATACTAAAAATTCTAAAAAATGAAAATGCCGGCCTGAAGTGTTAAGTGAATCAAAGAGCATCCTCCAAAAGTTAACCCAGGAACATTTTATTTCAACGTTTCGCTCTATAGATTTGTAAGCACATTAATTTATTAGCAATAATTTGAGGGCAACATAAACATAAATCTGGAAAACTACATAAGACCGTCGACCCAGAGTTCAAATTTTTGAAAGATTCCAGGCGAATCGAGATGGTCATACTCCTGGGCAGGCTTTGGCTGCGCCTTTGCTATGCTTGGCTACAGTTATTTTCAGGGCAACATTTTCAAATCCACTTCTTACAGACGAGCTCTACTATGATGACAAAACTCCTATCCAGTCGGCTACGACGGCGGCTTGATCTTGTGTTTTTGGCTTTTCTAATTATAAGTATTCTAACTATTCGGCTGTTCTCATGAGCTTCCAAGTAAGTAAGTAATGAGTAATGAGTAAGTAATGAGTCAGTTTCAAACAGAAATATTTAGTCAGTAAAGCCATCTAAATCAATTAAAATAGTTTCCATCTTTTTCAATAAAATGTGCCCATTTTACTGGTAGAAGGCAAATTCCTTCAAAGTGCTCTCCTGCTAGGGTATTTTCCATTGATCGAAATAAATGGTAATCTGATCGAGCTAGATCTGGGGAATATGTTGGGTGGGGGAGAAGTTCCCAGTCCAGGTCCTTGGTTGTAGAGTAAGTCAATTTAGCACTGTGTAGGCGAGCATTGTCATGCTGCAGTATGACTTTTTTCAGATTTGCCCTTTTTTTCTCAAGAGCTCTAGCTAGATTCTGTAATTGATTACTGTATAGTTGAGAGTTAAGTGTTTACTTGCTATCCTATAATTCCAGCACTCCCAGCATCCAATAACTTCCCTCAACCGTTCTCCCGGGGCGGTCGCTTTCGATCAAAGATTTGTCCCCATTTTTAAACCTAACCTCCCAGGAAACGTCGTAAAAGCGAAAATCAAATGCTGCTAGTGAACTTTTTTCACGCAAAAGAAACCCTTCATTCCCCAATCCTCTCCGTAACTATTTAAGAAAACGAAGTGATTTGAGTAATCATTCACTAAAAGAACGGCATGTCTCGACTTTTCTTCTTCTTCCTTTCTTCCTTCCTTTCTTTCTTTCTTTCTTTGCTTGTTTGTTTGTTTCTTTCTTCCTTCCTTCCTTTCTTTCTTTCTTCCTTTCGAAAATACTCGAAATCGAGGGATTCGAATTCGTCAAACTCTTCCTTCTGTTTTTCCGTGAGTCCAAAAGTGGCAACAATGGGACGGCCATGATTGATTGCCTATCGAGCACCCTTTTCATCGATTTCCTTTGCCATGAAACGGTATTTTGGGCAACATTTCTGAAGGAATTGCAACATCTTGGGGGGC